GACTGATTCAGGGGACATGCTGTCATGAGGATAAAAAGTGAAGTCTGATTAAAGCTTAACATGAGTGATAAATGCACACCGTGGTGGTGTTTCTTAGCGACATGTGTAATTGATGAGCATGTAATGTGTGAAGGTGAGTTCTCTTGCCACCACGTACAAAGAGATGAATAACACCACAAGGCAGCAAGGAATCTGCCTTTACTCAGAATGTCAGGCATCAGTAGTAAGAGCACCCATACCCTGACTCATAAGAGCCAAGTGGCCAGAAAGAAAGGCCGACAGGCTGACAGCACCGAGAGCCTTGGCAGTTTCTGAAGAGAACAAGCTAAAGGCACAACTGCCTTGGGTCTGAGGCAAAGACAGCGACCTCTGACTGAGTGCTCCTCTGACTTCTCTGGGGTCCGGCGGATCTCGAGGAACTGATAAAACAGCAGCAGAGTTTGAGGAACGATGGGGAAGAGGCAGAATCTCCACTTGCCAAGTCCAGCCATTTGGACCGCTGAGCTGTGCCCTCTGTCATGCCCCAGTTAACAGTGGCTGCAGGAGCCGATCTGGGCGGAAACTGATCCTTGGCACGGCACCTCTGTTGCACAGCAGAACATGGGTCTGGCAACCAAGATGCCAAGAGCAAAAGGCTTCCTCGGTGTCTCGGGTTTTGTCTCCAAGTCTGCTGTGTCTAAAATGGAAGGAGTCCACAGAGCAACTCCAGAGAACTTCAAGACACTTTTATTCCCTGTACCACCACAAGGAAGAGATGGGGCCAACAGCCAGTAACCACCCAACATGGTTCAACAAACTGTGTGCCAGTGGCTCCTTTAAAACAGTCCTCCCAAGGCTGCCTCAGTTCCTCACCAGTCAATACAAAGCAGAAACGTGTGGGAAAACGATGGAATGCAAAGACCACACAAGTGATACTGGAAGGATTTTGGGACCAGCCTGAAATAGCTGCAATGATATGAAAGGCTGATGCCTGGAGGATCAGGGAGACAGAGTGGGATGGATTTAAAAACCCATTGTGCAGGTCAATGCTCTTGTGGGGCGATGGCTGGTGGGGAATGAGGGGTACCTGGGTCGCAGTCTGGGGAGACAGATGAGCAGATAGTGCTCAGCTGCAAGGAAAAGCTGCAGCATGGACAGGATGAAATGAAAAGCCAGCCTGAAGAGGTTCTGATGATAAAAGAATGACAGACAGGAGAGAGAGGCTGCGGACAGAAGGTGAGGGGGACCACAAACCTGTCGTCTCGGGGCTGGAGAGTGAAGGGACTGTACTTTGTTGAAAGGTTTACACTCCAAGCTTGATGACAGTTCGTTAGGGTAAAAAGTGACGTGTCTCAGTGCATGAGTCATCTATCCATCCCTAGAGAGCTTGGCCCCTAACGAGGTTGCTGAGACAAATGAGCCAGTGAGCAATGGCATTTTTAGGAAACTGGTGTAAAACGTTTTTGAAATTTCTGAAGTGTGATATAACATAATGCCAACTTCACACATTTACAAGTTTAGTTGCTTCATTTTGAGTTATACAATCTGGAAGTGTAAGTACTTTATATAAGGAGCTTTGTTTTTCTTTTAGTAATTTGTTTATTTAAGGTCTTTTTGAGACAGGGTGTTGCTCTTTAATCCAGGGTGGTCTTGAACTTACTATGCAGCCCTGGCTGGCCTGAAACTTGCAGTGATTCTCCCACTGCCTCAGCCTCCCAAATGGCAGGATTAACAGGTGTACTCCATTGCAAGTAAATACATATTTACTTAAGTGAAAAAATAAAAAGAAACAGTGCCTGACTTTCTGCACTGACCTGGCTGATACCTTTTCTCACTGTCAATCTCTAGAAAGACCCCTTACAGCTTGCACTCGTGTGAAGTATTTCCAATTATATCTATAGTATCATCTCAAAAATATTTATTTAAAGGGCTCAGGATATCCATCAGAGGCAGCCCAAGTGCTTAGAATCCATGAGGCCCTGGGTTCAACTGTAGCACCAATAAATAAGCAAATACACAAACTTAAACTCACCTGTCATAATCTGCTAAGATACACATCTAATATGACAGATGTAGTAACTATATCTTTTTTTTGGTATTCTTTATTTTTATTTTTGCAGTACGGGGGATTGAATCTAGGGCCTCTGCACTGAGTCCTCAGTCCTTTTTAAAAAATTTTGTTTTGAGGCAGGGTCTTTTGGTACCAAAGATCGAACTCATGACCTTGAGCTTGCCAGGCAGGTGCTTGTGCTGCTGAGCCAAATCCCTGGTGCTAGGCAGGGTCTTTTTAAGTAACCACTTTGCCCAGGCTAGGTTCAAACTTTATATCCTCCTGTCTCAGTTTCCTAGAGTTCTGGGATTACAGATGTGTGCCACCACACCAGTTTACCAGGCACCTCTTAAAACAACTGGGTGGCACAGTTCCTATGTTTGTGCTATTATCATCATCATCTGAAACTGGGGACCAAACTACAAGCAACTTCACTAAGGTTACAAATCATGTAAAAGACTGAGAATCATGTTTTTTAAATTTTTGTAGTACTAGGGATTGAACACAGGGCCTTGTGCATACTAGGCAAGTATTCTTGCCACTGAGCTACTTCCCAGCCTGGTACTGGAGAATTATGTTCAATCTTGCTAAATAAATACCTAGGGCAATGCACAGACTATGAAGTTTGGGCAATTACTTAGGTTGGAGCTGCTTGTGACATAGCACATACTGCTAGGAATAAACTGTTATTCCCTGCCTCTGAGATGAAATAAGCAGCTCAGTACCTACCACTGAGCTACTTCCCAGCCTGGTACTGGAGAATCATATTCAATCTTGCTAAATAAATACCTAGGGCAATGCACAGACTATGAAGTTTGGGCAATTACTTAGGTTGGAGCTGCTTGTGACATAGCACATACTGCTAGGAATAAACTGTTATTCCCTGCCTCTGAGATGAAATAAGCAGCTCAGTACCTACCACTGAGCTACTTCCCAGCCTGGTACTGGAGAATCATATTCAATCTTGCTAAATAAATACCTAGGGCAATGCACAGACTATGAAGTTTGGGCAATTACTTAGGTTGGAGCTGCTTGTGACATAGCACATACTGCTAGGAATAAACTGTTATTCCCTGCCTCTGAGATGAAATAAGCAGCTCAGTACCTAGGTCAGTGGTGCCAAACCTGTGGCATGCATGTTATTTTATTTTATTTTTTAAGACAAAAGATGTTAATGTATGAGTTGTTTTTCTAAACGAAATCCTCAGCATTCAGGTTTAATTATAGTATTGGGACTCTGTGATAAGTAATTGAGTTTTTGGTTAGTTTGATCACCAACCTAGTGGGCCTGTTTGATGTAGAGAAATCTTAAGACATCACTAGAGGAAACTTTTGATCCTAATTAAAAAACACCATGGGGCTGGGGATTTAGCATAGTGGCATAAGCACCTGCCTTGAAAGTGCACAGTCGTGAGTTCAATCCCTGGTACCGATTTAAAAAAAAAAAAACTCACCATGAGAAAGATGTTTAGTTACAGCCTGAGCCAAACAACCTTTTTAGTACTGCAGAAGCCTTTGGTGCAAGTATTACACTTAGACCACGTGTGATTGTACTTCTCAAGTGGTATTAGAAGGGTACACTGCCCACACTCATGCCAAGTGGAGCGTTCAACCCAAGCTGTAACTGCTTCTCAATGATAAGCTATACACTTTTACTGTATGTTGCTCTCTATTGCATGTCTTTTGAAAGACAGTTACTGAGTTGTTATTGAGATAACTTCTGTAAATAAAACTTGTAAAAATATATTAAGATCCAAAACACACATCAATGATGGTGATGTTAGAAAGGCACTCTAATTATAAAGTCAATACCCAGCCACTCATGGTGGTGAATGCCTTTTAATCTCAGCATTGTTACAAAAATGAAAAAAGGAAAATGCATTGGCTATATGGTGCCTGTTACCAGGGAATTCAAGAGAAATTCGTTAAGATGCATTAGCAAGTAGGCCCCTCATTCCTCTTTTCAACCATCTGCTGAAGGATGCCAGGTAACTGGTCTGGTTCACATGATCACTACAGAAGTAAAGGCAACTTTGTATAGAAAGCACATGTTCAGAGTCCAGCAAAAGGTATGTTCTTTAGGGAAGAAATTACAAAATAGACGTTCAAGGAGAAAGGAGGGAGAGATGGAAAACAATGTATTATATATATATATACATGCATCAGTTTCCTATGATAAATGTAATCATGTGCTACACTAAAAAATAAAAACAAACAAAAAACCAATTAAAAAAGAACAAGGAATATCCTACTGGTTATTTTTTCTGAAATTCTGTACAACTTGTACCTTTTTCTGTTTTTTCTCCTTAAATAAAATTAAAAAAAAAAAAAAGAGAGAACAAGGTGGGTTGAATTATAGGCTTCATCTGTAGCATGATGATAAGGGCTGGGGATTTAGCTCAGTGGCATAAGCACCTGCCTTGCAAGCAGGCAGTCATGAGTTCGATCCCCGGTACCAATAAAAAGGAAAAAGAAAAAAAAAAAAATCTACATCTGTAGCATGATAAAGGAACTGAACATAAATGAAAGCTCTAATATTTGGTTAAACACTGACTTGTGCTATCATGAGATAGACTTGAAATTGGTGTAACAAGTGAACCAGAAAAGGATCATGTATGTGGGGAACTGTTTTGTCTTCTAGTTCATTCTTTCTTTTTTATTTCTTTGGTTTTTTGAGACAGGGTCTTACTATACAGTGCAAACTGGCCTCAAATTCACAGCTCCTGAGTGCTAAGGTGAGGGGCACTGTTATTTGGAAACCTATATGGCAGTTCTGCAGGCAAACTGAAATAGGACTTGCTGCTCTTCACTGACACCCTACCTATGTAAGACACTGAAGGTGAATGGAGTGAAAGAGTTGAAAGACCAACTCTGATCTCCTGAAATGGCAACCAGTGTCTGTGATTAGTATTTCTTTGCTTCTCAAGTGATTTTTGTAATCTGGGAAAAAAGTTTCTAGTAGGAACCATACCTGTGATGTCAGCTTGCCAGCAATCTGCATTCTCTCGATTTCTGCAGGAGATTTGATTAGCCGCAGGCGCTGTATCAGGTGCTGGACCCCCTGGACCTTGTTCTTACTCCTGGCCTTGGCCTCAGTCAGGTGCTGCATGTAGTCAGAGTGAAGCTGTGTGTGCGAAGGCTTCACCCAGTCATACCAAACTGTGCTCGTCTCAGCTTAGAGGGAAAGCCAAAGAACACATTTAAATCAACAGGGGAGGGGGTGTAGCTCAGGGTTAAAGCATGTGTTTAGCCTTTGTGAGGCTCTGGGTCAATCCTCAGCACCAAACAAGAAGTAAAACTACCTGGATGGTGGCGCATCCTGTAATTGCAGCACTTGGGAGGCTGAGGCAGGAGGATTATTGCAAGTTCAAGACCAGCCTGGGCTACAAAGTGAGCTCAAGGCTAGCCTGAACTGCATAGCGAGACCCTGTCTCAAAATGACAAAAAAAACCCCAAGAAATATAAATGCCAACTTCAACGATGACCTGAACTACTCAAAGCTATAAAACCTGCAATGTGGACTATAGAGGGTTGAATAAAACTCTCAGGGCAGAAGCAATTGATGGGTTTGATCATAAATTACTGCAAAGACCATTCTCTGAAAATGGCAGGATATTCTGGGGCTAACTACATAGTTTTTTGCTCCAAAATATCAGCATTCTTCACAAAGATGATAGATAGCACTAAAGCTTTCAATTTTGTAGCACTTGGGATTGAACACAACACCTCTGCACTGAGCTACATGGTCAGTTTTTATTTACTTACTGATTTTTATTTTGAGACAGGTCTCACTAAGTCATTAAGCTGCTAGAACTGGGCTTGAATTTGTGAATCTGCCTTCCTCTGGCCTTAGCCTCCCAAAGTCCTGGCATTATAAGCATGTGCCACCATGCCTGGCAAGCTTAAAGCTTTGATTTTATTAACTATTAAAGAACAATCACAGTGACTTACCCAGCATCAATCACTGCTGATTGAGAGACAATGAAAATAGAAAGAAGTACTCAGATCATATAACTTGAGAGGTAAAGCATCCTTTGGCTTTCTCATTTTGGTGCCATTATTCATTGCTACAGAAACATGATAGTTGATAATATGTGTATCTGCTATTTTTCTCATACCCTTTAACTCCAGAGACCTAAGAAAAAGGATTGTCTGTCTCTGTCAGTGATCTGTAATATGAAGTCTCACTAGGCAAATGATTTGTACTTAACACCTTATATATAAATTTTTTCCCTACAAATGATATTCCTAACAATCTAAATCTGAAGAGTAAGCTTTGCTTTATATGATTGACCTGGGTATACTGACACTTGGGAGGCTGATGCAGGAGGATCATTCTGAGTTTGAAGCCTGCCTGGGGGCCAAAGTAAGTTCAAGGCCAGGCTGAACTACACAGTGAGACCATGACTCAAAAAAAAAAAAAAAAAAAAAAAAAAAAAAGGAAATACTTATTCTAATTACAATAGATAGTCATTTCTTGTAGTATTTTGTTTGTTTTTCAGATAAGTTCTTATTAAGTTGCCCAGACTGGCCTTGAATTTGTGATCCTCCTGAGAGCTGGGATTACTAGTATGTACCACCATGTCCTAGGTGTGCTGGAATTTTTTTCTTCTTTTCCTTTTCTTTTTCTTTTCTTTTGGTCTTTTTGAGACAGGGTCTCACTATGCAATTCAGGCTGGCCTTCGGCTCACTTTGTAGCTCAGGCTAGCCTCAAACTTGCAGTGATCCACCTGCCTCAGCCTCTGGAGGGCCACCTTTCCCAGCTCTCCCCCCACTTTTTTTGAGTGTTGGGGACTGAGTACAGGGCCTCATGCATGCTGGGCAAACAATGTATCACTGACTTAACTCCCTGGCCTACTTAAAATTTTTCTTCCTCTTTTTTTGATAGACTGGTGGTGGTATACCTTTTAGAGATAAATGCCCAAACTGTAACCCAAAAACCACTTATTTATTTCAAAGTGCCAACACTGTAATTAAACATGAGTCCTCAGGTCTTAGTTTAAGAAGAAGTAACTCTTTCATTAACACTGTTTGTCTTAAAAGAAAAACACAGTAACATGTGTGCTATAGATTTGCTACCACTCAGGATCTCACTATGTAGTGCAGGCTGGCCTTCAACTGATTAGGTAGCCCAAGATGTCTTTAAATTCACAGCAATCCTCCTGCCTCAGCTTTCTGAGCACTAGGATTACAGGTCCACCTTGTCCAGCTAATATTTTTAACTGGTAAATAATTTCAGGTCAGGCATGATAGTACACCTGTAATCCCACTCAGCAGGCTGAGGCAGAGGCATTGATGGGTCAAGACCAGCCTAAGTATCCCAGGGAGATTGTCTCAAAAAACGGAAAAAACAAAATACTGCTACTACTTATATATGAAATCATAGCTCAGTTTTTTTCTAGGAATACATATTATTGTATTAATCTTTTTATCTATCTAATAATTTTATCTAATAAACAACTGACATTAAGAAAGGTGGATAAAGGCTGGGTATGGTGGTGCTTGGCATTCGGGTGGCTGAGGCAGGAAGGTCGCCATGAATTCATGGCCAGCCTGGGCTACATCATGAGTTCAAGCCCTGCTTGAATTGCATGGTGAGATCCTGTCTCAAAAACAAAACAAAATACAATGGTGGATGAGTATTTTCAAGAAACACAAAAATTTTATATGAAGATTTAACTATATAGGCTTCCTGAAATTTAAACTATTGAAGGTGACAGCCAGCAACTGATATGAGACATTAAAAAGCAACAACAAAAAAGGCTTCTGTGTTCCATTTATGTGGATTTTGAAGACCTAAGAAAGTTCAAAGAGTTAAGTTGGTAGTTATCTCTGTAAAGTACAAAATAGTTCTATAAAGTAACAAAATAATTTAATCAAACATCTTAGAACTTATATATTCAGGTTTTTTTTTTAAAACAAAGACTGTAGAAAACAAGTTTAACACAGTGCATGGTCATCAGAAACACATTTGGAATTCTCTTTTAGAAGCTGACTTGAGAAATGATTTATTAAACCATATCCTCCCCCCAAAACAACAAACAAATAAAACTTTACAATCATGTATTATTATCATTTAAAATCACTCTTTCTTAAATTGATCACCTATTGGAGTTTCCAAATTTGGCTGTAAGTGACTTTTGAATACTTCCAAGAATAAAATGCTTCCCAGAGCTGATGATTTATAAGAATCACTAAGGAGAGTTTATAATGTGATACAAGTTGTGAAGATGGTTCCAGATGAAGAATCCAACACATTCTAAGTAATCAAAATTCCAGCAGAATAAATGGAGAGGAAATTATTTTGAGAGGCAACAACTCAACTGTGTCTATGAAACCACCTGAGAATCTTGTTCCATGTGCATTCTGAGTCTGAAGCCATGAGGTGGGGCCTGAGATTTTACATTTCCAATAGCTGTGACACATTTCTAACCCTCATACACACCCCCAGGTGATCCTGATGCAGACTGTGCAGGGATCATTCTTTGAGAACAGTGCCTCCTTTTGAAAAGCTGGCAAAATACTTAGGACAAGAAACAGTGGTCAAAGATCCACACTCAGTATTCACTTTAAAAGTAAATTCTCTAAGATTTCAAACTAAGCTGGTTAGCAGTGTGTATTATAGGAAAGACTTTGCAAATGGACACATAAACTCTTCAAAGCAGCTCAGCATCCTGGAAAAGAAGACATATCTCTTTCACAGCGCTAAGAGAAATGCTGTTATGATAATCATTTTGGGAAAGGTCTAAATCCCAACTGAGCCTGTGGCTTGCTTTCTGCTCCCATGAATTACCTTTCATTCTGGGTAGCAGATGCTGGAATTCTTCCAGGGGATAGGCTTCATCCACTCCAGTTAGAGCCACTGCTCCGTCTGTGCCGGATCGGGGACCGTCCCAAAGTTCCCGACTAGGGTCTCTTCGAGGCACAAAAAGTATGGCCTTGTGTGATGGTAACTGCTTGCCAGGGAGGCTCTGAAGGACCAGAATGCTATCGGGCTCTTGGAATCCACACAAGTAGAGGAAATTGTTGTCCTGGTGGAAAGGGTAGGGGATGTCGTTGCTCATGTAGTACATAGGGTTGGAGAGCACAACTACTGTCTGGTCTGTCCCACTCTGCCCATGGGCTTCTTTGTGGATCAGAGACATTAGTTTGTGTCTGCGAAGTGCATATTCCACCTGAGACAGTCCTGGTGTCACCTCCCCTAGAAATGATAAAAGCAATGGTTTGTATGTCTACAAGACAGTACTCCAGATAGCTTAGTATTAGTCACAAAGACCCAACTTCATTTCTTCCATCCAGTTAAATCTCCTCTGAACACAGGAATTAAGGAGACAATCCAGGTTTCAAATTTCTATTTTGTTGCAAACATTAAAGTAAACATGGTCATGACTGAAGACTGCAATCACAGCTGATTAAGAATTCTTTCAGATCTCTAGCTCTTTCTTTCTCATCTAATCTAATGCTTACTGAACAGTGTGGTGTGCAAGGCATTGTTAGGCTACACCCAGTCAAAATTGCCGAGGCTTCAATCTCTAAAGCAGGTGGAAGGTCACATATCTGTGTGTGATTTTCCTGAAAGAGTACAAACTCCATTAGGATACAGATTTTGTCTGTTCAGGACCTCGAGTAATAACTGAAATACACTGGGCATTTTGTAAGTACTTGTTTCATGACTTACAGGTCTGAACAAAAATTCTTTCTTTTTTTTTTTCCTTTTTATCGGTACCAGGGATCGAACTCAATACCATGCGCTTGCAAAGCAGGCGCTTATGCCGCTGAGCTAACTCCCCAAGCCTCTTTCTACAATTTTAAGACCTAGATTAAATTCCTGCTCTGAATTCCGGAGATATAATATCACCTTTTTGAATAAAACTTTTCACTTTCTTTGAGGTTATTCTTTAGCTATCCATTAGGAGTTCTTTTTTAATTAATAAATTTATTTGTACATTTTAGGTATACATAATGATCCCATATATCATTGGGAATTTTATCTGTACATGATATAGCTTGATATATCCACTCCCCTTCTCTCTCTTCAACCACTTTCCCCTCCTTACAAAAGCTTTTTTCCTTCTTTTCTCACTTTTTATTTTTCCTTCCCTTCCTTTCCTCCTCCCCACTGTGCTCCTTTCCCCTTCCATTTGAATATTTTCTATTAACCATATACTTATTATGCATTTTGGTCCTTACTTACACGTTTGGTTTCTCACACCAGAGAAACAATGTAATATTTACACGTGTCTCATTTATTTCACTTAAGAGTATGGTCTCAAGGTGCATCCACTATTTTGCTAGAAATGTAAGCCTTTTCATTCTTTGCCTGGCATTTACAGTGAGCCCATACACATGTGAGTTCCCTGGAGACCATCCAGGTATTGGCCCAAAATCCTGATAATATTCTTCACCACTTGGGGGTGTCGTGAGAATCAAATCTGATAAAAGCATAGAACTAAATACCCCTGTGAGCCAAAATAAACCTCTCCTTGAACAAAACAAGCTAAACCCTGACTACTCCCTTGGGATCTCTCGCAAGCTATGGAATCATTCTGTATACTGAAGTGCATGTAGGCACATGTGAACTTACGACATGAAATTTCAAAAGTCTCACACCTTCTTAAGCATCCCTGGCAAGTTGGGAATCCTTAAGAACCAATATTATAGCTGGGTGTGGCGACACACCTCTACAATCTCAGTACTGGGATGCTGAGGAAGGATTGCTTCAAGTTTGAGGTAAACCTGGGCTGCATAGTGAGTTCAAGCCTGCCTGAACTACATAGCAAGTCCCTGTCTCAAAAACAAAAAACAAAAACTGCTGAAATTATACGTGTCACTACGCCTAGCTGTTTTGTTTCCTTTTTTCTCTGTTTCCCTCCCTCCTTTGTGGTACTGAGATTAAATCCAGGGCCTTTGCCCTCAGCTCCATGTCCAGCCAATTTTAAATTTTTAAACTTTTTTTCCTGGTCTTTTTTTCCCCCTATTTTTTTCTTTTTCTTTTTTTGGTACCGGGGCATTGAATTTATAACCTTGCACTTGCCAGGCAGGCACTTGTGCAACTGAGCCAAACTCTTGACCTTTTTCTGGTCTTTTGGAGACAAGATTTCACTATATAGTCCACGCTGGCCTTGAACTCGCAGTAATTGTCCTGCCTCAGCCTTTTCATTTAATTTTGACATAGGGACTCATTATGTAGTTCAGGCTGGCCTTGAACTCCCTATGTAGACCAGGCTGTACTTGTGGCAATCCGCCTGCCTTAGCCTTCCAAGTGCTGGGATCACCAGTGTGTGTTACCACGCCTAGCTATTTTTTTTAAAAAACATTTTGAGACATTTCACTGTGTCACTAAATTGCCTAGGATGGGCTTGAATTTGTGATTCTCCTGTCTCAGCATCCCATAGGACTGGGATTACAGGCGTGCACTACCATGCTTGGCTACCATTTGCTGTTACAATTAGAACCTGGCTGATAGCCGTGATGACTAGGTGAATGCTTTCTTTATGAAATGGAAACATTTCTTGCTTCTTCATTAGGTTCCAGTGCAAAAAAACCACGAACAAAATCACCTACAAACGGGCTGGGGATTTAGCTCAGCGGCATAAGCACCTGCCTTGCAAGCAGGCGGTTGTGAGTTCAATCCCTGGTACCGATAAAAAAATGAAAAAGACCAAAAAAAAAAAAAAAAAAAAAATCACCTACAAACATTGTGCCTCCTCGGTCTTCATTTGGCAATAGGAATAGTGAAACACCATCTAATGCTTGCTTATTGGATGCTTACTTCATATACAGTACTAATCGCTCTAATTACTTATGTATCACCTTATTTAATTTTTGTGATAATTTACTTCTCCCTGTGGTACTCAATTTTCAAATACAAATGGGCTGCATGAAAACTTTGTACAAGCTCAAACAAAAGAGATAAAGAAACCATTTTTTAAAAAATCACATTTTTTATAGTGGCAATCCACAGGGAACTGGAATTTTCTTTTTTTTTTTTTTTTTAATCGGTACCAGGGATTGAACTCACAACCGCCTGCTTGCAAGGCTGGTGCTTATGCTGCTGAGCTAAATCCCCAGCCCCTGAAACTAGAATTTTCTTTCAACAAACATACTTTTATATTTAAAATATAAAAGATAAAACAAAGAGGCAAAAAATGTAAATCTATAAAAGTCTATTTTGAACCCAGCCATGGCACACACCTGTAATTTCAACTCAAGAGCTGAGGCAGGAGGATTGCTTCAAGTTTGAGGTTAGCCTGGGCTACAAAGTGAGTTCAAGGCCAACTTGAATTACATAGTAAAACCCTGCCCAACAGAAAAAAAAAAAGGCCTATTCTATTCATAACCACAAACAGCTCCTTGTCCATTAGAGCAAACTGATTCTCAGGCCTCATGTAGAATGTTCTCTACCTTATGACTCCAACTTATCGGGCTAATTTCTTTCTTTTTTTAATAGCTTTGAAATATTTCATGTATCTTTTTAAAAAGTTTTATAAACTTACAATTTACCCATTTCATCAGTGAAAAAAAATACACACAAAATTAACAACAACAACCCCCCCCCCCCGAAAAAAACCCCCAGGCTCATAAGCAGTCACTTCCCATTTCTTCTAAATCCCTCTGTCCTGGCAACTACAGGTCTATTTTTTCTCTATCAATTTGTGTCTGGCAGATATTTCATATAAAGAAACTGCACAATATATGGTCTTTGGTGACTTGGACAACTTTTTTTATTATCCCATCAATTATTCTGCAATTAAGTCATTATCTCATAGAAAAGTCAAATCTGTTTTTCCTTCTCTGTTTATCTTGCTTAAGATGTGTTCCCTTTCCAAAACGGTTTCTCCCTTCAAACTAATCCCACTCTAAGATCTTGGCTTAATAGTACGTGTTTTTAGTCTCTGTTCTTCAAAAGATTCCCTTGATTAGCCAAGATCATATCTGTTTAAATTTGTAAAAAGTAACTATGTCTACACACATATTAAAAAGTAACTATGTCTACATACACATAGACTCACAATGGTTGCATATAAATATAATCACATACTGAATCTTTCACTGAACATTTCCTCCCTTACCTTCATGGTTTGGTTCCTCACTCATCTTCACTACACTACACATATCAGCATCCTGCCATCTCTTTTTTGTAATCTAATATGTATCCTTGCCTATTTTTCTTAATACTCATACAATCATCCATACGTCTACGTGCAGATTTTTTACGTGTTTTTTATTTATTTATTTAGGTACCAGGGATTGAACTCATGACCTCATACTTGCTTTCATTGTTTTTTTAAAAAATATTGTACACTGTATTCTGTATCTTGCTTTTCTCACATTACAATACCAATGGAAATCCCTCCAAGTTATCTGATATAGCTTGATTCTTTTTTTTTTTTTTTTCTTTTTCCTTTTTATCGGTACCGGGGATCGAACTCACGACTGCCTGCTTGCAAGGCAGGTGCTTATGCCGCTGAGCTAAATCCCTAGCTTGATGTCTCTACAACATTTATTGGGTTGGATGTATAACTTACCAAGTCATTTCCATAGTGATGGGCATTCAGAATGCCTTTAACCTTTGGCTGCCACAATAAATATCTTTGTGCTGGCATCTCTGTAATTTTATGCATTAGTATTTTTTCCTACAGAATAGAGCTAGGAGAGAAACTGCTAGGACAAAGTCTTGAATTTTCCTAGTAACCATGCTTAGCACATGCAAATCAGTTGTTTATGATTATGGAACGATATAGTTGCTTTCACCTAATATAAAGCAGAAAATTCTATAATTTTACTTCTATTAATAAAGCATTAATTTGGGGCTGGAGATTTAGCTCAGCAGCATAAGCGCCTGCCTTGTAAGCAGGAGGTTTTGAGTTCGATCCCCGGTACCGATAAAAAAAAAGGAAAAAGACAAAAAAAAAAAAAAAAAAAAGCATTACTTTTCATTGAACTTTTAAACAGGTAAAATAGAAAAAAAAACTTTATTGACGTTGGAAAGAAGAGAAGAGATGGACAGCCAAGGGCGTTACAGGATACTCTGAACCAGGGAAACCCACAAAGTGGGCTGGAAAAGAGCTCACATCATTCTTTTCTTTCTTTTTGGAGTTTTTCCTTTTTATCAGTACTGGGGATAGACTGCCTGCTTGCAAGGCAGGCGCTTATGCCGCTGAGCTAAATCCCCAGCCCCACTTCATTCTTTTCTTCTGA